GCACAGCAACTGCTTCAGCGGTCCAACTTTAATCTGCCTGCGTCCGTGAGTCAGCACCCTCTGAGCGCATCTGTCTCCAGCACCGAGGCAGGACATGCATGCCGGAGTAGCACAGTCGTGCTTTAAAAACCAGACGACTGGCGGGGAAGGGGGGGAAGAGCAGGCTCAAGTGAGCTGTTAAGCAATCGCTAATGACACAAAGTGACACAGCTCCAGCTTTGCATGGATTGAGTAAGGAGTCATAAGACCAGGAGAGATGTTCATTTAAGCATCGCTCGCTCAGTGACTCGCCAGCCGCAGCGGCTTATCAGGAACCCCAGGAATTTGCGCATCATGTATTCCTGGGGCAGCCCAAGGAGAAGAAATGCACCCCAGCATTGCCTTTTCCTTGCAATTAATGCATTCCCTGATGTGAGCACTGCAAAGAACTGCAGCCCTCTCTTATAGGCACACGCTTCGTGCTGGCTTTTGTGGCAGAGCTTTGTGACAGACATGGCCGAGCTTTGGATTTGCCGCACTGCATGCCAGATGCAGAGCGAAATGCCTGCGTACCCCTCCCCTGGCCCAGGCAGGACAGGGCAAAGTCCCTTTTGGGGCTGAGACCTGGAGCCTTCTCACTTGTGACGAAGTTGGTGCTTCCCTGCTGCGTGCTTTTTTACCGGTGGCAAACTTAACCTGTGACATCCTACCTGTGGCACAGTTGGCTTTCTGGATCAAAAAACCATCTGGGAGGGTAATTGGATTTTAAGGGTCACATTGTTTAAACTCAGAAATGTGAGTAAAATAAAGGCAGAGTAGTTTTCCTATTGCGCCATTCTGGAAGGAAAGATTGCCTTACTGAACTCAGGATCCAGAAGTGTTTGCTGGCTCATTGGTTATGTCTGCAGGTAGCTACAGGTGTGGGTTGTGTGCATCTGTACCAGCCAGAGCTTCACCTCTAATCCAGAAGATTAATTTGGTTTACCTGCAATAAGAGAGGAAGACCATGACAGAGCGAGTTGTGCTGGGAGGATGGAGGTAGGGGGTTAAAATGACCGTGGCTTAGGTAAATTGCCCCGCAGTGATGTCTGTAAATGCGGCTTGTGTTGTAAACATTTCTGTGCATCGACCTGGTGAAAATGTAAAAGAATTTGAAGTTCTGTTCACTCCTTGCTCCTTATCTGAATGCATTTACATCTGCTGTACCCTCTGCTGGGTTCTTGGCAGCACCTGACTAAATACCACCTGTAAAACTGGCTGGGGCCAGCCAAAAATGACGCCTGCTGCCACTCCGCAAAACCCCTGCCCCTCTCCCAGCCCTTCAGCTCCTGCTCGGCTCATGGTAACTGCATACGCGAGGCCTTGTCCTTCCAAGTCTGTCTGCTTTGCCCTCCTTTAAGTGAGATCCGAGGGAAGCAAACCATCTCATTGGTATGGGTGGAGCTCTGCCACGCATCGCATCAATTCATAGATTTATTTTTTTTTTTAAAAGCCAGAAGGGACCGTTATGTTCCTCTCTCCTGACCTCCCACATAACACAGCCCATTAAACGCCACCCCGCCGGCACAGTGGCTTGTGGTTGAATTAGAGCACCTCTGGTAGGAAGA